TCTTCTGTTGTCCCTGTCTTGATCTACTACTCGATCTGTAAATTTAGTTGGTGGCATTGGATCGAGTTGTGTCCTCTATAGACAACCGACCGACCACTACTACGGTACTACTACTACTACCTGGAGCAAATTAATATCATCGTCATGTTGTACCACCCCAGCTTTAACTTTTGTTGGAATACGTACTACTACGAGATCAAATTAATACTAGACTGGAGTGTACTGTTCATTTTTATGTACGGTATTAAGGAATGCAAATGATGCCGGGCTCTCATGGTTGCTTCCTCTATGCCCTCTCGCCCTCGATCGGCCCTATATATCCGTACGTACGCACGTGAAGCAACGCGTTTACTTTCATCAGGTTAAAAACACGATGATTACGCTATGCTATTTATATACTTGCATATAGATCCAGTGGTACCACTTGACATGTATGGAATGGCCCACTTGTGGTTGCGGTGGCTCCGGCTGTTTTGACGCTACGACCAGTGACTCTCCTTGTGCTACGGAAATGGCACGGCGTTGTGTGAAAAGAGTGCAAACCCGGTCTCTCTCTGTGTGTCTCCGCACCAGTGCATGTGTCTCCACTTGGGTTTGTCCTTTCTTTAATCAGCACTGAAAGAAAATAGACGAGGGGATCAGGAAAGGCTTCGCGTCAACCGCCTTGTTTTGCCGGCTCTTCCCTTCTCTTTCTGCGCGCGCACCGCGCATTCATGTTTGTACGATCGATATATCCACCGGCGTACTACCAGACGAGACGACGACCGGGTGTGGTGAAGTCGCCCACCCTACAACGCCGGCCGATGAAAAGCATCCGGCTAACATACCGTCTTTGGACGAATTAGGCCAACTCCAACGCACGACTCCAAACGTCCGGCATCTTCGACTCTGGCAGCCTGCAGGTGCGCGACATGGACGGCACCAATGTTCGATGTGTGGCATGAAGATGAGGGGTTCGTTGAAATGCCTAAGAGGAAGAGGAAGAAGAAGGTAGATGCTGACATATGGGTCCTACTTGTAATAACGGTAAATATGATAGTCAAAATAATCAAAATGGGTTCTGCATGTCATAAACACATTTAAAATTGGTAAAATGGTAATCATACTCGGTAGTTTTTTGCCAAAAATTAAGTAAATGTGGTAGTCTGCTGTCACTGTTAAGAAAATGATAGTTCAGTGGGACACAAACCCCAAATATGATAGTTTTTTTTTTTGTTAAATGCTCCATGTAAAGTACTCTCTTCGTTTCTAAATATAAGTCTTTTTTGAGATTCCACTATGGACTACATACGAAGCAAAATGAGTGAATCTACACTCTAAAATATGTCTATATACATCCGTATGTAATTTATAGTGAAATCTCTAAAAAGACTTATATTTCGAAACAGAGAGAGTATTTAGCTAGCCAAATTGTCAACTTAAAACTACATGCATGCCCTACACACCCAGGCGGACATAGTATATAGAATTGGTAGAGTAACATAGTAAATAGCTAATCAAATTTTAACCCTGGTGGCCAGGAAATAACTAACCTTACGAGTTTTCTACAAACCTGGTATAAACGCACACATGCAATCACGCACTCACTCACTCATATGAACATACGCATCTATACCCTACTCGCAGGAACATCTTTGAGAGACATGGGTGAATGGTGAATGGTGGACAGCTAGCCATATAAGCACCTTATAAGATTCTTTTAGCTGCTCAACATGAGTGAATGGTGGACAGCTAGCCATATACAGCGCAACAAACTAACGTGCATCTGGCGCAGCCAAGGACGCGCGATTTCCCTGTATGGACAGTCACTGGTTTGTGCAAGTTTCTTAGGGGTTTCTTGGGCAAAGTATTACGCGCATACACGCATGTGCCCTATCACAATGTGCAGGTAGGTTCGTTTAATTGCTGATGATGGGTGGACAGCGTTGCTATCTTCTGCAAGGAACCCCACATGCATGCCAATGCCATGCTACTACTACGAAACAGTGTGCATGATATGTACACTGGCCGTAGCGGCTAGCTAGTTCGACGGCGGCGCAGGCAAGAAGGAAAAAGAAATAGTGTCTTTTTGAAGAGAGCGTTCTCTCGGGTTTCATAAACTGAAACCACAATGTCTTTTTTTTACAAACTACAGCCCTAACAGTAAGCTAAAAAACGAGGCGACGAGACGAGAAATGAAACAGGGAAACTCCACACGTTGCCAGACTGACCAATCAAATGGCATGCACAACATCCCCATCTCCTATGGCCTCGGGCCATGAAGGTGCGGAGGACCTTGGCCTACATGGGCGGGAGGGACCCTGTTCGCATTCTTGTTAGGTTAAATGTCTAAGTTGGGATTGTGATGCGGTGGCGATGCCTCTCAGTAGGAATAATGTCTCGCACGCTCTATCCCATTCTCGATATGTCCAGTGTCATCGGAGGGCGTGTGGAGGTGTGTATCTGTCGGAACTCGCGGGATTCGGTCAGTGCTGATGTTCGATGGATTTGTTTAGATCTGGCCCTTGTTGCTCTTCGCTTGGGTGTTTACAGGTATGATCCTTCCGATCTACGACTTTTTTCATCGACGATGGTTACTACTCTCGTGTGTTGGTCCTATGGGGCCTTAGCACGGAAGCTTCCCGACTGTTTCTACATCAAGATTTGCCCGGCTCCGATGAGAGAGAGGCGATGACGATGACACGCCTTCGACTCGCCCCAGTGCTTGCAGTCGTCGCTAGGTGGTGTGTGGATCTATTGTAATTTTTATTACCTTTGTGTTCTTTGTATTACCATGATTGGAGATAAATAGATTGAAAGTTTCTCACGCAGAAAAAACATGATACACAACATAACAGTAAAAGACAACTAAAAGGAGCCAGCTGGACGAATTCTTGCATAGCAGCCGCGTGGCAGTATAGGCCGTAGAGGATGCCAGCAGCACACCATCAATCCATGATTCCGTTGAACCCCACTCTTCAGCCATGCACAACTTTAAAGACTTCACTTGCTATCATTGCAAACATTCTTATTCCCCATCTCAGTGTTTATTGACTTGCCTTCTTTTCCTAGAAATAATTATAGTTGCAGGTTGTCTGGCAATCATATTAACAGGAACACAAGGGTCAGAAATCTTATTGTTATCAAGAATTATGTTGTTCCTCGATTTTTCATGCCGTCCAAAAGACTACAAACACCCCAATTATCATAAGGTGTTTCTCATGTTTGTTGAACTTTTAATACAAACTACAAATTGAATGTAAACTTCAAAATGTTCGAACATTTTAAAGATAGAGCATTGCATGAAAAGATGATCAATATATTCATCCTCGCCACAAGAAGGACAATTTTTACTACCACTCCATCCTCTCCCGACCAGGTTATCTTTAGATAAGACACTATTTCTAAGCACCAACCACATAAAGACTTTAATCCTAGGAGGCATTTTGACTTCCCAAAGAAATTTGTAAGGAAGTTTAACCCCATTTTCCAGTCAGCTATCTATAATATCATTTAAGAGAGTAATTCCACTTTTGGTCAAGGTCCATCTAACAACGTCCTTTTGATAAGTGAGTTCAAGATTCTCACAAACCTCTTTAACATGATCTCATAATTATAAACAATCTCCCACGACATCTTTCTAAATTGCATCCATCAAGACCTTTATTAATGACCTCAACAAAAGAGAGGTTTTGTCAAAATGGATGTTATACAACCTAGGGTAATTAGTGTTAAGAGGTTTGTCACCTATCCACCAGTCTTCCCAAAATCTCACATTCACACCTTTACCCACAATGAATTTGCATAAGGAAAAATCGGTCCTTATGTTTAAGTAATTCACTCCAGAACTGAGAATCCTCGTGCCTAGATTTAATGCCAGCCAAACATAGACCTGTCTGATACTTACTGAGCGGGATAGTTTGCCACAAGCCTTCTGAATTAAAGATTTTTCACCACTGTTCACACAATCATGCTTTATTCATTAGTGCCATGTTTTCGATTCCTAAGCCACCAAAGTCTTTAGGTCTACATACTTCAGACCATTTGACCGTGATATTTTATTAACCCGAACAGGTAGCCCATAAAAGGACATCATAAAGTATGGAATTCCAGTCAAGGAGGATTGAATTAAGGTGACTCTACCAGCACTGGCAAGAATTCTACCCTGTCAACTACTACATTTTTTTCTCCATTTTGCCTTCAAGTTTTTTGTCCAATTTTTGTTCATTAATACTTTTTCATCCACATGTAGTCCCAAGTACCTCATAGGAAGAGATCATATGGGACAGGTAAGAATTGTAGTATATTCACTAGCTTTATCTGCAACCTTACCAA